AATTTCCTCCATTACTTCATGATTGCCCAACTAGATGACATTTTCATTGGAGGAACAATGTATCTGGCACATAGGATCCAGCCTGTGCAGATAACAGCTATGTGTAATGCTTAAAAATGTATCTTTGACCAAGAAACCATTTGATGTTTAAGGCCCTGAAGGAGTATGGATGGGCTGCCACAAAGAGTCTGTTTTGGTTGAGAACTACCTATTAGATGACATGTGAGGGTGCAGCAGTTTCTTGAGTTTGCCAACTCCTGTGTGCTATTGTTTTCATACAAAAAAGGTAACCATACTCCTATTTAAGAAAACTGCTTATTTTCTATTGGTTCCAGCTGCCCAAATTCCTTTGACTTAACCCAAGGTGATTCTTGCCTCTAATTTGATTTGATTTCCTTTGGTTATTTTATTTTCAATGGAGATGTCTAATAAAACCATTGATTCTATAGCTGGCTTCTATTTAAAAAATATTTATTTATCTTTAAATGGATCTGAAATCTGTCCTCCTGTAAATTCTACTATCCAGACTAGTTCTCTTCTAGGACCACCCAAATGGTTCATTTAAATCCTCTTTCATGTGATAGCTCTTCAAAAAGTGTATTCAGTCAGATGTAATTCTTGACCTAAATTTAACAGACATTTGTGTCTACTCTTCGAATGAATAATTTTTGTTTTATTTTTGAAACTGGGTCTATCTTGTCTAGCCTGGAAGTGGAGCAAGCCATTCAGGGGCTCAATTCCACTACTGATCCAAAAGAAAGCTTTGATTTGCTGTTTCCAATCTGGGACAGTTCTCTCCTCCTTAGGCAACCTGCTGGCTCCCTGATTCTGGGGGCTCACTATGTTGGTGTCAGACTTAGTGCAGATACCTGATCACCTTATACCACTGCAGCTCAGAACTTCTAAGTTTAGGCAATAAGTGAACCCACATCAATTAAGAGCCTACAGAGCTCAGATTAAAATATGCAATTTGGCAAGTCTTCCTTCTAGAGGTAAGACCTTATGCTATGGGAATAAAAGACTGATATCACTAAGGCAAAGAGAGTGGAAAGAAGAGAAGAGAGATGTAGACAGAACCTTGGGAAATGCCTACATTTAGCAAGTGGGAAGGCAAGAAGAAGTCAGCAAAAAAATAGGATCATAGTCAGGAGTGGGTTTTGGAGTGACCAAAGAAGTAGAAACTAGGAAAGGCAAGAGGGATAGAAGCCATGAGAAAAACAGAATAAAAAAGGAGGAACTGTTCTATAATGTCCAATGCTACAGAGAGGTCAAGAAGGATAAGGACTGGAAGAAGTCCATTAGCTATGGCAATTATGAGGTCATTGGGCACTTGGGATAGGTCATTTTCAGCAGACTAGTAGAGACAGAAGTAAGATTGTTTAGGGTAGGTGGAGATGAGGATGTTGATTATGTGACAGTTAAATATAAATAACTTTCTAGAAATTTGTCAGTAAAGAGTTAAAAAGTTGAATTGTGATGGTGTTTTTCTCCAAAATGAATGTTTATAAAACACATGGGCAGTTACTATGGTTAAAAAGCAGTATTTAAAGAGACATACACTATTATTATTCTCCTCTGAATTTCCAGGAGGGAAATTCATGTTATCTGCATTTCCCAGATGGAGATACTGAAGTACTAGGAAGTGAGGTGTCTTGTTCCAGATAACACAAGAGGATGATGAGGTCAAAATCTAAATCTAAAAAAATCTTGAATACTTACTTCAGTACAATTTTCAAACCAAATGACCACTCTATGGTTTTTTTTTTTTTGCTGGCTACTTAGAATATGGCTGAGTTCACAGAAGCAACTAAACAACAACAATAGCTAACATTTATTAAATACCTACTGTGTACAATTAGAAGCAGTGTGACATAGTTAGATAGAGCTCTGGCTTTGAAATCAGTTTAAAAGTTGCCAAGTTTTCTAGATTTTGACTTTATATCTCTGGTACCCAGGCCTTGTTAAGACACTTATCATCTCTTACTTAAGAATATTACATTAGGCAATAGCACTTCTCTCTTCTCTATCTTCCACCCAACTGTCAAAATAACATTCCTAAACTCTGATCTGATGATGTCACACCCTTTCTTGATAAGCTCTGGTGACTCCCTATTACTTCTAGAATCAAATATAAAATCTCCTGTTGGGCATTTGAGATCCTTCACAATCTGGCTCCAACCTACCATTCCAGGATTATTCTATGTTTCTCCTCTGCATGCATTGTGACCTTCTTGCTATTCCTCATGCATGACTCCACCTCCAGGCCTTTGCAGTGGTGGACTCAAGGTAGTGCCTGAGATGTCTTTCTTCATCACTTTTGCCTTTGAGAATCCCTAGTTTCCTTCAATGTCTGGCTCAAGAACTATATCTTAGTGAAAACTTTCTTTATTCCCTTAGCTGCCAGTTTCCCTGGGATTCTAAGCTTTGATACGTAAGTCTTTGCCTTTCCCAGAGCTAGGCTTCCATATTACTCTGGGCCATCATTTTCAAATCTGTATTTCAGCCATCATTCTTGTCTCATTTCATTTTTGTCTCTGTACTCAGCACCCAGCATAGTTCCTGACCCATAGTAAGTTCTTGTTGATTGGTTGATTCAAATCCCATCTCTAATATTCACTAGCAGTGTGGCTATCAGGCAAGTCACATATAACTTGTCTGAGCCTCAGGAAGTCCTTTATGACTGTATGCTAGAGACAATTTGGGATCTGCATTGGTGGTGGGGAATCCCCGTGCACTCATAAATTTTTGACCTATTGATCTTATGCGATGTCTGTGTTAGGCATTGGAGAAATACAAAGTCCACAGTCATTGATTTCAAAAGAACTTAAAAGATATTTACTTCCACTACCCATGGTCAATCAAGCATCTAATTATTGTTGTGTTTTTGTTTTGTTTTGTTTTGTTTTGGCCAGTGGCGAGGACAGTGGAATAAATTCTAGATGAGCAGGCATGGATGCAAGGCTCACATATGACATGATAAAGTTCCTTGAAGAGGAGTGTCATGGAAACATATACAAATTAGGAATCAGAAGATCTGAATTCTGATACCAGCCTTGTCTTTGGGCAAGTCATTTAGCTTCTAAGCCTCAATTTTCTTATCCATAAAATGGGAACAGTAGAATCTGCTCTACCTTCCTCTCAAAGTTGCCATGAGGGCCAAATAAGTTAATATTTATGGAAGAATTTTATAAACTTCAAAGCGCTATACAAAAGAATTAATACAAAAGAATTAAAAGAAAGAATTAATAAAGTATCTTTATTTCCCTACTTTTAAAGTAAAGAAAGCTATTAAAAGTAGGAAAAATGGCAAAACTTATTAGGGAATAATTATTATAAAAAGGGAAACAACCATTCAAGGTCAAGAAAAAATGGGGCAGTAGCGATCAAGTTTTAGGTCCGGAACTAAAATTAGACATTAGAACCAAAATAGTTGTGAACATTGTCTTTGACCCAGCAAATAGTGGGCTATACACCCAGCTATTTTAGGGCTCTGTATTACTTTGGGCCACCATCTCCAAATCTGCATTTGAACCATCATTCTTGTCTCACTTCATTTTTGTCTCTATACTCAGCACCTAGCACAGTTCCTGACCCATAGTAACTGCTTGTTGATTGGTTGATTCAAAATCCTGTTAACTAGAGGAATCAAGAAAGATTTCACTGGACTTTGAAGGTAACTAGGGATTCTACAAGGCAAAATTGGTGAAGAAAGACATCCCAGGCATTGGGGTCCACCTGGAGGTGCAGCCATGTGTGAGGAACAGCAAGATCATCTCAAAGGGATCAAAGAAAGAGAAAAAAGACCCCCATACAATATTTATAGCAGCTGTTTTTTGAGGTGATCAAGGAGCTTGAAAGAAAGGGGGTGCACACCTACTAGAGAATGGCTGGATAAATTATGGTACAATGATGAAATACCCTTGTGCTATAAGAAATGACGAAACGTGCAGTTTCAGGGAAATCCTGGAAGGCTTACTTGTATGAACTCATGAAGAATAAAGGAAGCAAAAATAGGAGAACATTTTATACATTTATTCACATATACACATATATACAATATATGGTGTATGTATGAAGTACATGGCATCCAGAACACAGGATAGCTACAGTAAAATTTAAATGTCTACTTTTAAATAGTAAGGATAATAAGCATAATAAGTATTTGATATTGTCATATTCAGTGTACTATGCCACCCCTTGCAAAACATATATTGTTCCTTTGGTTTCAAGCCAGAGAAATTTTGGGGGAAGGAACCAAATCTTATAAAGATTGCTACAGTTCTGATATGAAAACAGCTGAACGTTTAAAAAAAAATCTATTTTCCTCACTCCTCCACAAAGTGGAGCTGTATGTTCACATTTTTTTTTCTTTGTGCTCCCAGGATCAGAGTACACTTTAGAAGCAAACCAAAACAACAACAAAACAAACAAACAAACAAAAAAACAAAAAAAAAAAAAAAAAAAAAACACACCCAAACCCAAACCCAACAAAACCCTAGACCCTAAATCAACATATACCCCAAACTTAAGAAAAATCTTCCCGCTTTGGGCTTTAAACAGTTCAATTTTGTTAAACTTAAAGCTGTAGCCTGTAACGGGATTTCAAATATTACTACTTATTCTGTTTTTTTCTTTTTAATTTACTAAATTTGCTTATGTTGTTGTAGTGCAAATAAAAATCTGCAATCCTGCAATTAACGAGGTGACCTCCGGGAAAGGTCTCAGCTGCAGTCCAGGAAGATGGGCAAATCCATTTCTTCCCACCCAGTAAACCCAGCTTCAGCTCCTCCCCGCCCTCCTCCGCCCTGGGTCTGGCCCCTCCTCTCCTTATCAGGCTCCACTGGAGAACAAGAATGACTTGAGAAATGGCCGCGTCTTTTATTCATTGGTCAGCAATGCCGCTGATGCTGACCAATCACGTGGATTCTAGGTCTCCATGGCGACAGGAAACGCTAACAGAGCTGCCAGTGTACCAGTTACAGAAACGGTTGGAGGGCGGAGATGGCACGAAAGAACTACCGAACCTGCGTGCGGATGGGCAACTGGAACGAAGACATCTTCCTGGAGGAGGTATCGGCTGTGGGGGGTGTTGCTGGCTTCCCCCCGTAGCATGTTCGAACTGAACTGTCACTGAGAGTTCCCTCTTTCCCCCGCCACCCGCCTCCTCCTTCACCCCCTCAGTTCTTACAAACCTATTTCCTACAAGCTCCGCTCCCCCAACCTGTCTTCAGTCTTTCCCCGTCCTAGCTTATTGACAATGATCTCCATTTGCTCTATTGGTCTCTAGCTCCCCCCGACGCATTCCTTCCTCCCCTCACTCCCACCCCAGTCTTTCACTGATGCTCATTCCTTCTTCAGACCCTCTACGCTGATTTCCCTCAGAATCTCTCAGTTTCTCATAAGTGATCTTCCACTGACCGCCCCCCTTCTTTCTTCCTACTGATCTGCAAACATATTTCTTAATGACCCCCCCTCCCCGGAACAGATCTTTTCTGTCAGATTGGTTCTATACTCTTCATACTGATCACCCATCAACTTACTCAGATCCTCTCTACTCAGTGCATTGTCATTTGCCCAGGGTAAAATAGCTGAAACTTGAAATCAGCTTTTCCTGGTTTTGAGGCTAGGTAACATTTATTTATGCAGTGTTACTATGTGTCAAATACTGCCCTAAACACTAAGCAAACTTAGAACGAGGGAGATGCTATCATTATCTCTATTTTAATGTTGAGTTAATTGATACAACCAGAGGTTAAATGATTTGCCCAGAGTCACACAGCTGGTAAGTGTGTGGGGTTAGATTTGAACTCTGGTCTTTCTGACTCCAGATCCAGTGCTCCATCCATTGTGCCAACAAGCAGCCTCTATTTTTCTTAAAATAGATTTGGTATGAACTTAAGAAATATTTGAAACTTGAAAATTATAAAGTCTTATGTAAACATAATGTGATATAATTCATATCACAAAGGAAACATTCATCTTAGAAAAGTGCAGTGAGCAATGGGAAGGTAGCTCAATGAATTTAATTTAAAAATAAATTTAAACAAATTTTTTGGAAAAAGCCTAAAGTGATGCCAGATATTGCCCAATCTAACAATAGATCAGTCAGTCAATCACTCAATTGACAAGTATTTATTAAGAATCTACTATATGTAGGTGTTAATTAGCAAAAATCAATCACTTTCTACTTGTTATAGACAGTGTCCAAGTAAAATTTCTAAAAACAGTAACCCTTGTAAATACTGTTAAGTTCTTTAAATTGAATATTCTTTTGATCCCCCCACCTTTTTCTCTCCAGGAAATGATGAAAGATTTTTTGGAAAAAAGAGATAAGGGGCAGCTCCTTATACAGAGAAACAGAAAACTTATTGCAAATCTCTTAAAACAGGTAATTTTAAATTCTATTATATCTTTTTATGTTTGGAAGAAAACAAAGATTATTATTTTAGTTTATTGATATTGCATGATTTCATACATTTTAATTTATATTGCGATAATATTTCAGCCAGTACTGTAATTGTTCAGATGGAAATGCAAATAATGACCTCAGAATTGGAGGATGTAAGCTCTGAACAGGCTGAACAATGATGCCTCCGAATGAATGAAAATGAATTAATATGAAAAGAGGTGACCAAACAGATTGTACCATGTTTTCTATCAATCAATCAATCTGTCAGCGCACATTTAAGTGGCTTCAACGTGCCAGGCAAATCACTATGCCAGGTTCTGAAGATGGAAAGACAAAAATGAGGCAACCCTTGCTCTTGAGGAGCTTACATTCTTAAAAAAATGTTTTGATTCAAGGTCTTTATTCTTATTTATTCCTAATTTAATCATGGTGTTCCTCATGGGATTAAAGCTTTTAGAGTGTTGAATTTGAATTCATTCTTCTAACCAGTTTATTTTATTACCTTGTAGATTTTGGACCTTCATCCCTTTTTTTTTTCTCTTGTGTCTTCCTCATAGAAGTATCACTTCCTGAGGGAAGTAATAAGGCTAGAAACAATTGCTCCATGGTAGAAATTACCCTGTATTCCAAATCCTGTGGTACAATTTTACTCTTTGTCCATTCCTGCCCCATATGTTTTCCCCCATTTGCTAGGCAATCTCCTCTCTTAGTCTATGTTCTCCCACACCCTTCTAATGCTAGGTGCCTTCAGGTGCTCTGATTTCTTTTCTCCTTAGGCAGGTTACCATTCATGGAGGCACAATAATCTCTTAGAGGAATTGATCTTGTATACAAACTCTCTGTAAATCAGACCCACTCTAAGGTCTTCATGTCCCAATACAGAATATAGACATCTCCTGGGAGTATTCTTTACTGGGACCCCTTCTCATCATTTAGTCTAGATCACCTCAATCTGATGGATGTGAGATGGTACTTCAGAGTTGTTTTATTTTGCATTCATCTAATTATTAGTGACTTAGAGTGTTTTCTCATATAGCTATTGATAACTTGAGTTTCTTCCTTTGAAAACTACCTATTCTTCATATAGTTTGATTATTTATCAATTGAGGAATGGTTCTTATTCTTACAAATTTGACTCAGTTCCATATATATGTATATGTTTGTGTGCTAATCTGTGATTTTCTTTTCAAAGATTAGTCATAAAAGAGAGGAGAGATACAAAATCATATTAGAGGGGATGATAGAATCTAGGGAAGGTTTTTTTTTAAGGAAGACAAAGACTTGGGCGTGTCTGTAGGCAGCAAGGAAGGAACCAGTAGATAGGGAGAAAAAAATGGAAGGATCATAGATGTTATTAAGATATGTATATGTTATATGTTATATGTAGAGGGGTCGGCTTTATTAAGGAGAAGGGTCATCTTTTATGAGAGAGCAAAGAAGATAGTGAGGAATAATGTGAGAGAGATCTGAGATAAGGTGAATATGAGATTGGGAAGGTCTTGGTGAATGGTCTTGATTTTCTCTATAAAATATGAGGTGAGGTACTCAGCTAAGAGGATGAGGGAGTTTTGAATTTGAATTGTGGGACTCATGAGGAGAGAAGAAAGTTTGAAACAACTGCTGTGATAGAGAATCAATTAGGAAGGAATAGAATTGCCTTGCTGAAGTGAATGTCCAGCTGAGATTAAATAACATAAATTGGTAGTGCGTCTAGTCCTTGGAGTTGCTCTAGCTCTGTTCAAAAGCACATGAGCAGGAATAATAGAGGCAGATGTTGGGAATAATCTAGAGTTGGGACTTGGCAACGTCTGATTGACGATAGGACAAGGAAGCAAAGGATTCAAGAATTGAGGATAATTGAAGTGGTTCATTAAGATTTTGGGCGGAAAGGATGTAGCTAGAGCAAAGTGACAGCCTGAGAAAGAACTGAGGAGTGAAGGGTCTAGAGTCATTGTAAGAATGAAGAATAGTTTGGGGAGTAGTATAACATAAAAGGAGAGAGGGAATGACAGATAATTATGGTCAAATGGAAAAATTTTGAAATTCTTTAACATGTAAGTGGAACATGTAGGCAAAGACAAGATCAAGAATATGAATAGATTGAGGAACTAGGAAGTTTGGGAAAATTGAGGGAATTTCAACAATATGTTGAAGTCTCATGGGGGCAGAGGTTAGATTAGCTAGGGAAACTGTGAGCTAAGCACTGAGCTCATTGAAAAAAGAAGGAAAATGTCCTAGGGGTCAGTAGATTACAGCCACCAAGTTCTGGATTGAATCAAAATTTGGAAAGAGTGATTCCTCAAAGGACGAGAGTTGCTGAGTGATGGCAATGGAAAGAAACTCTGTAAGTGACAATGAGGAACAAGGAGTATTCAGACTTCCCACCTAGACCCAATGAGTTGGGGTGGAGTATGATAGAAGATACAACTAGTACTAGAAAGGTTGGCCAAGGATGCAGTGTTATCCATGGGTAACTAGTTCTCTGTGAGTGGTAGACAATGAAAGGAGCATGAAAAGAAGAGGTCTAAATTGAAAGAAAGTTTGTTAATTATAGAGTTCCAGAGGGTGCAGTTGAAAGGGTGGGCAGATCTAGAATGAGACATCATTAGTGAGGAGGAGAGGGAGGATTAAGGTCAAGTTAAGTCTTGTTGGCAAGCATTTATTAAGTACCTATTATGTGCCAGGCGCTACGCTAAGCTTTGGGGATACAAAGAAAGTTTTTTAAAAATCTGAAACAAAACAAAAACATAGTTCTTGTTCTCTAGGAGTTCATAGTCTAATGGGGGAGGCATCATGCAAACAACTATGTACAACAAGATACATACAGGATAAATTACAGATAATCTCAGCAAGAAGGCACTAAGATTAAGAAGGACCAGGAAGAGTGAATGAAAATGAGGTAATAGAGGTCAGAGAAGGAAATTTGTTCTTTGGCAATCAGGGTTTCTCAGTCTACTGAGACAAAGAGAGTAGGAAAAGGTAAGAGTATACCAACGACTGACTAAAGAATTATCCCAGGCAGAATATCGGTGTCTAGGAAGACACCGTGATGAAGACAGGTGACTAGAAGTTTCAAGGTCTTGTCTTGGCTCTTACTTACCAGACAACTCCTTGGAGGTATTGTGTCCCAGGTCTGGCAGTATTGTTGGAAGGGAAAAGGGGGACTATGGAAGTTGGGCATGCTAGAAGCATAGTATATTTTTTTATGTTAGATGTTTTTGCTAGTGGTGGTTTGGAGTTTTATTTCTCTTGCTTTTTTTAATATTACAGACAAAGCTTTCTATTACTGAAGATGGATTTATTCATTATGGAGATAAAGTATTAGTTATTAATCCTGACTGTGAAGATCCTCACGGTGGCCAAGTTGTATTCGGCAGACTAGCATTATCAGTGACTCCAGAAGAAATGAAAGCACACATAAGTAATGACATAGAGGTGCCCTGTGAAGTGACTGCTATGCCTGACGTGAGCCCAATTGGCAGAAACACATTTATCATTTTAAGGTAGAAATACTTTATTACTTTATCTTGGAAATAAGCATCAATTTTAAGTTGTATCCTAAGGATGTTCTAAAGGGTGGAGGTGGCTTTGATTAAAGATAATGGGAAATATGAACATGTAAAACATTTTTGTTTTTTAAATGTCATTTGGATTTTGTATGCCTTCTAGCAGGTATCTTTGTTTTTCAAAGGTGGATCTGATTCTTAAGCACTCTGTCCAAAATATCATAGTTCATTGAATAGATGGTGAAAGTAGATAGTATATGGAACAAATTCTGGGGCCCTTATTCTTGGAAAGGTATAGCTCCAGTGGCCCATTTGGAAGTATCTGCCACTTCAACAAATGACTATTTGGGTAAACGAAAGTAGGAGTAGAGCTGAGAGCTACTTAAGAGTTGGGTGAAGAAGGTCTGGAGAACACGAGGCAAGAGAAGACAAGTGCTTTTAAAAATAATAACATGATTCATATGGCCATTGAGGCAATGCCAGTGAAAGCTGGCAAATCCAAGCAACCCCTATAACTATTTACAAATGCCCTTTTACCCCATTTAGATTTAATTTGTATACACTGGTCAAACTAGACTTAATTCCTATGCTTTACCAGGAGTTCTTAACCTGAAGTCCATGACTTAAAAAATTTTTTTTTGATAATTCTATTTCAACATAATTTATTTCATTCAAAATTTTTATATATTTTATTTTATGCATTATAAAAACTGCATTGTTCTGAGAAGGGGTCCATAGGCTTCAATAGATTACCAAAGGCATCTGTGACACAAAAAGGTTAAGAACCCCTGCTTTGGACCTATGAACCCCAATTCTTGTTCTTTGTGTAGGAGAGGTAGGATATCTAGAGGATATAAAAATATTGCTTATTTGGCCCTGTGCTCTTCTAATTTTTAGAATAACTTTGCCAGTATGTGGAAGGAAGCAGGGGACATGGAGCAACTTTGCTTCAGTTGCTAGATGAGAGTTCTTTCCAAGTGACCTCATTTGTAATAAAGCTATCTCTTTTTTGCAGATGATATGATGATATACTTGGAAAATCCTAAAGATTCAACTAAAAAGCTAGTTGAAGCAATAAATAATTTTAGCAAAGTAGCAAGATGTAAAATAAACCCAAATAAATCATCAGCATTTCTACATATCACCAACAAAACCCTGCAAGAAGAGATAGTAAGAGATACCCTGTTTAAAATAATTGTAGACAATATAAAATACCTGTGTGTATACTTGCCAAAACAAACCCAAGAACAATATGAACATAATCGTAACACATTTTTATACAAAGTCAGATTTAAATAATTGAAGAAATATTAATTGTTCATGGGTAGGCAGAGCCAATGTAATAAAAATGACAATTCTTCCTAAATTAATCTATTTAATTCAATGTCATGTCAATTAGATTGCAAATATATATATATATTATTAAATTAGGAAAAAATAATAACAAAATTCATTTGGAAGAACGAAAGGTCAAGAATTTCAAAGGAATAAATGAAAAAAAAATGTAAAAGAAGGTGATTTAGCAGTACCAGATCTTAAACTATATTATAAGGCAGTAATTATCAAAACTATTTGAAACTGACTAGGAAATAGAAAAATAGATCAGTGGAACAGATTAGATATATAATACACAGTAGTAAATGAGTACAGTAATTTTGTGTTTGACAAATGTAAAGACTTAAGTTTTTGGGATAAGAATTCATTATTTGGTTAAAAAAAATTGTTGGGAAAGCTGTAAAGCAGTCTGGCAGAAACTGGACATAGATCAATATCTTACACCATTTACCAACATAGGTCAAAATGGATACATGACCTAGATAAAAAGGGAGCTATCACAAAGAAATTAGAAGAACATGGAACATATTACCTATCAGACTTAAGGATAGGAGAACAATTTATGAATAAACAAGAGATAGAAAACATTGTGAGGCTTAAAATGGGTAATTTTGATTAAATTAAAAAGTTTTTTTTTTACAAATAAAAACAATGTAGTCAAGATTAAAAGGAAAGCAGAAAATTGGGAAAACATTTTTATACAGTCTTTCAGATGAAGGTCTCATTTCTCAAATATACAGAGAACTTTGTCTCATTTATAAGAATATGAGTCATTCCCCAATTGATAAATGGTCAGAGGATATGAATAGGAAATTTTGTGATGAAATCAAAACTGTATATAGTCTTAATCACTATTGATTAAAGAAATGCAAATTAAATTAACTTTGAGATATCATCTTAGGCTTATCAGATTGACTAAAATGATAAAAAAAAGGAAAGTGACAAATTTTGGAGGGGATGTGGAAAAATTGGGACACTACCTCACTGTTGGTAGAACTGTAAGCTGATCCAACCATTTTGGAGAGCAATCTGGAATTATGCACAAAGAGTTATAAAACTGTATATACCCTTTGGCCCAGCAGTACCGCTATTAGAACCATCTTTGTTTCTCAAGGTGATTAGGGGAAAAGGAAAAGAAATTAGATGTTTTAGTGGTGGCAAAGAACTGGAAACTGACAGAATTCCCTTTAATTCGGGAATGGCTAAAGTTGTGGTATATGGTTGTGATTGAATACTACTATGCTATAAGAAATGATGAGCTGGTTGATTTTAGAAAAAAACATGGAAAGACTTACATGAAATAATGAAAAGTGAAATGAACAGAACCAATAGAATCCTATACACAGTAACAGAAATATTGTCATAAGAACAACTTTGATTGACTAATTCATCATGAAAATCATAAATACTCAAATCATCTACAAAGGATCTATGAAGGAAGACAAAGAACTCCAGAGGAAGAACTGATAAACAGAAGTATGTATAGTATGGTTTTACACACACACACACACACATATATATATATGTATATATATATATATATATACATATTTGTGTCTAGTGGTAACTTTCTCTAGGGTAAAATGGACAAGGAGAGAAAAAAATAAAAAGTGTACATCAGAGAATAAAAGAAAACTTAGAAGGAAGCACAAAAAAATCAGAGTAGTCATGATCAGTAGTATTTATTATGTAACAGAAGAAGTAAATTGTGAAGTGAAAATTCATATTTTTACATTGAATCCTTTTTATATTGTGCTTTGTATGTGGAAATATTCTTTTTTGTGTGTCTTTTTGTATTTAAGTTCAAAATGAATGAAAAAAAAATTAAAAAGTGACCTCATTTGCCTTCATTATGACAGTCCATGAGGCAGAAGAACCATTTTTCTAGCATTCCTTCCTTTAGTAATAAGAAGTATTGGTATTATTGAATTTAACATTAAAGACTATTGCAAACTGAAAAAAAGCATCAATAAATATGAACACTTCCAAATTCAAAGACTAGGAAAAGAGGATTGTATTTAAAGCCATGAATCTATTACATAAAGCTGGTTTTAAAATAATTATTAAATTTAACATAGTTCCAACATTGCTCAGTTTGTCTATTTCCTTCTGAACTTCTTTCTTCTCTCTTCTATGTATTTTTAAATGTTTCATTGGTGCCATTTTATTTCTTTTTTTTTTGGATCACTATCATGACCTTCTTCTTTCTTTTTCCCCAAATAAGAGTCAAACAGAACAAACAATTTGTGTTGTACTTCTCCTGCTTGAAAATGAGTGTTTCATGGTGCAGCTACAGTGCATTAACTTGACAATAAAACATCAACGACTTAGCATTTTCTGGTATCTCCCAGGAGAGGGGGTTCAAGGGACAAAGCATGACCCAGTGATTCTGCAATCACAAAAGCTGACATTTTCTTGACACTCATCTATTTTTTTTTACTTCATCCTCTACTTTGCCACTCGTGCCCTGGCTTCCCCACAAACACCTCTTTCCTTAGCCTCTTTCATAATGATTGATTAGTCAGTGAGTGTTCTTTGTGTACCTGAATGCACAGCAAGATGGATAGGCGACAAAACTATGATTCCTTTTTCCAAAGAGCTTACAATTTAGATAGGCAGGCAGCCTATATGAAACCAGGGAGGACCAGATTTATAGAAGAACCCCAAATGAAAATTAATATGGCATAAGTGATACATAAGAAATATAAGGGCACAGAGGTCTCCAAAATAACCACAAGGGCCCAGACACTGTCATTTTTGTTCCTTTTATTATAGCCTTTCAAGACTGGCATAATACAGTGGAAAGAGCACTGAATTTGGACTCCAATGATCTGGATTTGAATTTATGGCCTGATATTTACTATCTATGATTTCACTTAATAGTTCTGTGTCCCAGGCAACTCTCTAGGACCATACATTATGGAAAGCTATATATCTGCATAGATACAAGAAGTTTCTTCATCTGGAGGTCTCCACACTAATGAAATCACATGTTCAGACAAAAAAAAGGAAAAAAAAGGGAAAAAAAAAGAAAATAAAGGATTAAGGCCAAAGCTATTAGTCTAACATTATAAGCAGGCTACTTAAGATCAAGCTTCAGCCCTCCAGTTCAGCCAGACTGGACATCTACCCATTCCCTAATGCATGATTCTCATTCTTGCCTCTAATGTATTAGTAGTTACAGGAACTGCCTAGGTAAATTAGGATAGAAGTGAGCTGCTCAGTATACCTTACCAGATAGGCTTAATCCTTAATTGAGGTGTGTGTTAAGTACAGGAACCTTCATATAGAATCCAATTACTATAACATTTACTTAATTTCTTTATGGCAGAATGGATTCCCCAAGTTGAACTTTGATACTAATACTTTACTATAGAAGAAGGTAGTATATGGTGCAATAAAAGGTGTTGGATTTGGAGTTAAGAGAACCTGAGTTTGAATTCCTCTTCTGTTTACTGTGTAAGCTTGGGAAAGTCACTTAAAATGATGGTAATTTTATATAATTGTTTTTCAATATAAATTTATTTCAGTTGTTTTTCAGTCATGTCTGATTTTTTGTGACCCCATTTGGGGTTTTCTTGACAAAGATATGGGAGTGGTTTGTCATTTCCTTCTCCAGTTCATTTTACAGATGAGGAACTGAAGTGAACAGGGTGACTTGTCACACAGTTAGTAAGTGTATTTTTGAAATTCAAAGGGGTCTCATTTTAAGGGCAGGGGTATTCTAGCTATCCTATATTCAGGGGTATCCTAGGTTACAGCTTGTGTCATATATTAAAGATAAATAAGAATGGATACAGATATATATTTATGGAGAGGTAAAATCAAATACAAAAGCTAATGTTTTGTTCCCTTTTTTTGATAGTTTAGATGGAAATGCACTGGGTGAACCTATCAGATATGGGCAGAATTTTGGCCTTGCAACAACAGCTGGCTTTGATGATAAGATGGTATGTAATCAGAATGTACACTTAGGTTTGTGCTACTAATTCCCAAGTCCCCATACAACTTAGAGACCTAGAAAAAGACCTGAAGTATGTTGAAAGAATTTACAAGAGAATATTGGTGAGAGTCTCATGGGATGGACAGGTGGGTTTTTTTCTAGCTATTCATTTGGAAGCAGTGTCTCCCTTGATAAGATCATGGATGTAGTGAAGGGATGTGAATACTGATATAGAATCAGTATTTTAGGATGGCCTAATGAACAAAAAACCGAACAGAGAATCAAAAGTTCTATTAGTGGCTTCAATACATTTTGACACTAGCTTAGATACATTCTGTTCATCTTTCTCTTCTAGCTTTGTAGGATACAATAACATGCCTTAAAACTACGTTGGAGAAAGAACTATTTATTTAGAGAGGCAATGTGACATAATGGAAAGAACATTGCATTTGGAGTCATAAGACTTGAGTTTGAGTCATGGCTTTGCCAAATTACAAATTGTGTGACTGTGGGAAAATCACTTAGACTCTCTGAGCTTGTTTCTTCATCTTTAAAATGAGGGGCAATAATAGCATTATCAAAGGGTTTTGTGGGGAAAAAATAGTTTGTAAAATGAAACACTAAACAAATTCCAGTTCTTTTTTTTGTCTCCTGTAGAGTAGGGAAGGAGCCAGTTTCTTTACGGAAGACATAACTTATGTGAGTTTGTGCCTTCCCAGACTCCACTGGTTCAGAGAATAGGGTCAATTGTTTTTGAAAGCCAGTGTTTGAAACTGATTTGGCTGAGAGGGCAGAGTTGTCATTGCTAATCAAGGAGGGTAATTAAATTAACTTCCCCATATCAGTAAGGACTCATGAACTGGCGTCTTGCCAACAGGCTTCCTGACCACTCTGGCCCACCTAGCTTCAAAGACTCTGCCCTTTCTACTTGTGTGTGTGTGTGTGTGTGTGTGTGTTGTACCACCCTAGAAGCCTATAACCTCTTTGAGGGCAGGGGCAGTGAGTTTTTTTTTTTGTTTTGTTTTGTTTTTGGTAATCTTTGCATCCCCAGAATTCAGCAGAATGCCTTACACATGTGCAGTAATCATAAAGGTCTATTCAGTTTAATGAATTGAATTGAGTAAACATGTTTAAGGTCTACATTTCCTGACACAGAAAGCTGTCATGTTAAGACTCCAATGTGATTGTATTTTCCTGAGCAATTAGTTGTGTCCATCCTATGGGTAGAGTTACCCTAGGTGTATTATCTGCCATGCTGAAGCATTACATCAGCATCACTAGGGATGAGGTCTTTGATGGAAGTAATTCATCCTACTTGTTCCCAGTCAAATAGAACTAGGCTAATGCTCACCATGATGTATTTGGATGTATTGGGGAATGATGGTGGGCAGGAATAACAGCCAGATAATGATTGGAATTACTTACTAGTAAGATGAAATGAGAAATCTGTAAGTACAGAAGATAAGAATTTCTTTAAAGGTGCTTTGAAAGTAGTATGGTATATTGGAAAGTACACAGGTTTAGAATCAGAGGGTTTGGGTTCCAATACCACCTCTGATGCTTCCCACCTGTGTGACCTTGGGTGAGTCACTTAACTTTCCCAATCTTCGATTTTCTCATCTGTGATATGAAGGATTTGGGCTGGATGGCCCCTGAGGCCCCTTCTAGTGGTAGAACAAAGATAGCGTGAAGGATAGCTTCAAACAATAAGCATGGTCACCTGATCAGAAAAGCAGAAGGCAGATAGACTGGCTAGAGATGTATTATTCATTTGTTCAACAGCATTTGTTGTAAGCCTGATATGTTCATAACATGACGAGGAATGCCTGAAGAGAAGTAACATGGTCTTTACCTCCAAAGAGCTTACAGTCTAGAATCGTTATACCTTGACTCTCACTCTGTTTTCTCCCTGTTCTTTTTCAGTTGTACTTAGGAAGTGACCATAAGACAATGATGAAGTCAACAAAGAAGTCTTGGCTTCAGGATGTTTATCTAACGGATGAGTTCACCTATTTGACTTGCTGGCAAGCTACTTATTTTGATCCTCAGTTGCGCATTGAATATGAAGGCTTTCCAGTTCCTGTAAGAACGACTTTTTTTTTCTCCCATGAGAGTGGTGGTAGTGGCTTGGAACTGTGATTTCCCAGAATCAAAAAATTTGAGAGTTAGAAAGAACCTTGGCAGTCATCTAGTCTAGCTCATACACAAATAGCATCCCCACCATAATATACCGGACAAGTGGTTGTCCCACCTTCACTTGAAGACCTCTAATCAGAACAAAACTATCATCTCCTGAGATAACACATTCCACTCAGGGGCATCTCTGACTATTATGAAGATTTTTTTTCCTGATGTCAAGCTTAAATTTGACTCTTTCAGTTTCTACATGTGCCTCCTGGTTCTTTCTCTAGAGTCAAACAGACTGTCTAATCCATCCTTTCCCAGATAAGCCTTTCAAATACTTGAAGAGAGTTATTATGCCCTTGCAGAGTTTTTCTCCTTTCAACTATACATGCCCAGTTCCTTCAGCTGCATCTTTTATGATATGGACTCAAGGCCTTTCACTAACCTGGTTGCCCTTTTCTGTGCATTCTCTAGCTTATATCCTTCTTAAACCGTGATCCCCCAAAACTGAACACAATGCTCTGGATGAAGAACTTTATGAGGGCAGAGGACGATGGGACCATCACCTCCTTGTTTCTGGAAGTTTTGCCTCTCTTAATATAGCTTGGGCTTATAGTAGCTTTTTTGGCTATTACCTCCCACTGTTGACTCATTAAGTTTGCAGCCCACCAAAGCTGTCGTATCTTTTGCAGAACAATTGCTGTCTAACCATGCTTTCCTCAAATTGTACCTGAGAAGGTATATTTTTTATACTCATGTTCAATAACCCTATTGATATTCATCTTAGTAGATTCACCCCAATGCTCCTCATCACATGTTTATCACCCAGATGTCTCTATCATTATTGCCTTCTTTACCCCTGTCTTACATGAAGAGATGACCGTACTCCTGGCCAAGTCAAAACCTTCTAACTGCACAAGCTATCCCATCTATTGTATCCCACATCTTCCTGCAGATTGCTCCTTCTGTCATCCCAATTCTCTCACCTATCTTTAATCTCTTTGTGCCTACTGACTGTTTCCCTACTGACTCCAACATGTCTGTGTCTCACCGATTACACAAAATCTCACTTGATCCTTCCATCCTCAATATCATCTCATATCACCTCTGCCTTCTGTGGCTACAAAGTTGTCCCTGCTTCTTCATCGCTTACTCTCTTCTTAACTCTCTATATTCTCTATATTCTGGCTTCCAATCTCATCATTCATCAAAAACTGCTCTTTCTATAGTTACCAATGACTTAAAAAAATAAATCTTCTGTTTCTTACATAGTTATTTCAAGTGTACTTCCCCTACCCTTTCTCAAAGAGCCATCCCACATAACAAATGGTATTTTTAAAGAGGAAAAAAAATCAACATTACTGATGGATACATTGGAAAAGTGTTAAAAACATGCAATAAGTGATACCTGTTGACCTCCCACCTCCATGAGGAGGAAGTTTAATGATATCTTTTCATATCTTTTCATTTGAATGCTGCTTGATCTTTTAAATTTTATTCCATTCACTTTTGATTTTTTGGTGTGTAGTTCTTTCCACTTGTTGTATTTATTGTACATATTATTTCCTTGGCTCTGTTTATTTCACTTTGCATCAATTCATATGGATCTTTCCAGTTCCTGTAGATTTTTCTCTTTATTCATCACATGCTTAATTTCTTGTAATAAAATAATATTCCATTACATTCTTATACTACAATTTGTTGATCTATTCTGCAACTGATTGGCATTGATTTATTTTCAATTCTTTGCTGTCACAAAAAAGTGCTGCTATAAATATTTTGGTGTATATGGGGATTTCCTTCTTATAGATAGTTCCTTTGGGGTATAAACTAGTAATAAAGTCTCTAGTTCAAAGGACATGAACATTTTTGTCAATTTATTTACATTCTAAGTTGCTTTCCAAAATGGATGTACCATTTCCCAGCTTTACCAACAATGTATTAGTGTGTCTATCCTTCCACTACCCCTACAACATTGACTATTGTCATTTTGGGGGTGAATTTTGCCAATTTGTAGAGTGTGAGGTAAAACCTCAGGGCTGTTTTGATTTGCATTTCTTTTATTATTAGCAATTTGGAACATTCTTTTATATGGTTGTGTATAATTTGCAATACTTATTTTGAGAGCTATTTGTTCGTATCTTTTGACCACTTATCTATTGGGAATGGCTATTAGTCTTACGTGCATTTATATATCTATATATCTGTATTATATATCTTAGATATATATCTTAGATAACAAACCTTTATTAAAGAAACTTGATGGAAAAGTTTTTCCCCATTCAACCACTTCCCTCTTTATAATAGGTACATTAATTTTGTCTGAACAGAACTTTTTCAGTTTCACATAATCAGTTATCTCTTTTATTGTTTGTAATCACCTTTATCTCTTAGTGAATTAAGAATCTCCTAGATGTATCTATGAGAGAATCTCCTAGATGTATCTATGATGTGCTTCTCTAATTTTTAAAGAGTATGATCTTTAATACTGAGGTTGCATATCCAGTTAGAATGTTCTTTGGAAGATGGTGTATGGTGTTTGTCCAAGTCTAATTTCTGTCAGATGGTTTTCTAGTTTTCTGTAAGTTTTTGTCAAAATAAACTCACAAAAATAAACAGCATATCTGTGTGATAATAATAAAACCCGAGAAGTAGCAATAGAGAAATTCCATTCCCCCCAAAAAAAGCTCTTTATCTCTTAGGGGGAAGAAACTGTTTTTGCCTTTCTTTGTATCCTCAATGCTTACTTAGTACATTATCTGCCACATAGTAGGTGCTTAATAAATGCTTGTTGACTACTGAATGACAAACTATATGCCAGGCACTATGCTAAGAGCTGGGGGTACAAAGAAATGCAAAAAGATAGTTCCCTGCTCCCTCACAGAGCTAGGTGTTCTCATTGTCTTTTTATTTATTTTAGGTATTAACTTTGTGTTAGTCATTTTTGTTCTGGTATTTCTATTGTAAAGGTCATTCTTTATCTGCTGTAATGAAAACACAAATAAGAATTAATTTAGGAAATTTTGGGTCTAAAACCTCCCTCAGCCAATGCAGATTGTGAACATCTCTGTTACATGCTAACACAGCGGGCTGTCTGAGGCACCGAGAGGCTGAGCAGCTTGACCTGGGTTCGTAGTTAGCACCCATAAGGGCAGGTCTTGAACTCACATCACAGAATTGTAAATTTAGAGCAGGAAGGGGATGGGGGCTTAGAGGTCACTTAGCCTGGCCCCCTTATTTTACAGATGAGTCAAGATCAGGGAGCTCAGAGCCTTGCACAAAGTCATACAGGTAGCAAGTAGCAGAGCTGAGTCTGAACTCAGGTCCTTTCGCTAGAGTTGATGCTCATTCTGCCATAGCCGTGTTCTTCTCAACTTGATCCACTATGTCATCCTGTCTCTTACATACATTGTCATCATATTAATATAATGTCATAATGCTGGTGGCTTGTTTTGAATTTATGGTACTCTAACACCTCCAGATTTTTTTCACATGAAATAATGTGATCCACCTTCTCTTTTCCTCTTCTCAACCACAGGTGTGTGCACACACATGCCTATCTTGTCTTGGGCAGTTCCTGAAAATAAAACTTATTTTTTCTATTTCTGTGCACCAAGCCTAATCTCTAATGTTATGCCCTGACTGATCTTTGTGCTTTGCATAAATGCAGTAAGAAACAATTCTGACCTGTTTAGCTTTTGCCGTACCATCTTTTTAGTCACAGTCATAGAACTTTCAGGGAGGAAGTGGCTTAGAGATAATCTAGCCCAACTGGTTTACTTTAGCTTTTCTAATATTAGGGTTCACTTTAGCTGGGGCCTGTGTATTGTTCCTTTTCTACATTAAGAGGAATCCCTCATGCCTACAACTTAGTATTGAAGAAAAAGATAGCAATACTGTACTCTGTGTTTTAGATACAAGTATGTCAGAAACAATTTTTATTAATTTAACATTATTCTAAATCCAAGCCACGTCCTAGAAAGAGAGATGTCCGAACTAGGATAGTCCTCCTCCTCTCCTTCTTTCCCCGATCCTCCCTCATGCCCTTAGACACTTTGAAGTGACATTTGTAAGAATCGTGAACAAGGGAAATAGCAACATTTTAGAGTAAAGTTTGGGGTTAACATTCCAGAACAATAGTCACCACTCAGTTCCTTCCAAGACCATTCTCCACAAGCACTGAAAGGAAGGGCCTCCTCCCTGCATTCAGCATCATAATCCTTTCTGAACAGCAGAAGGGCACTTCCCTTGGCTGGATCACTGACCAATTGCTTCTGGGGAAGGAGAAGACTGGGATATCAATAAGACAAGAGATACTCTGTGTTTAGAAATTTGGTTCCCACCCATAACATATTTCTTGGGACTTTAGCCTTTTTTTTACCCACTTTCCTAAAGGAAGAATCTGAAACGGTTTTAGGTTGGAGAAAATATTATTTCTTAATATCTTCAGTTGAGCTAAAAAGGAAGTTTTTAACATGGTTCCCCAATAGGTAAGCCTTAGGGAGTGGCCTGAAGTTTGAGACATTATGTATCTTATGGCATCTGTGGTCAGACATTGATAGGGATTTAAACTCAGGTCTTCATTACCCCAAATCCATCACTCTATCAAGTCAAGTCAAATCAACAAGCATTTATTAAGTGCCTACTGTGTGTCAGGTACTGTGCTAAGCTTCTGGGGATACAAATAAAGGTAAAAAAACCTACCTATTTTCAAGGAGCTCAGGCTAGTGGGAGACAGAAGAAGCAAACAACCACATTCAAATAAGTTATAGAAGGAAGAAATTGGAGATAATCTTAACGGTAGGCATCAGCATTCATTAAAGGAGATTAGGAAAGGCTTCTGGTCAAAGGTGAGATTTCAGCTGAGATCTGAAAGGAGTCAGAATAACCAGGAGCCAAGAGGGAGAGAGTTCCAAGCATGGGGTCAGACAGTGAAAATGCACAGGGGATCGAGTGTCTTGTGTAAGGAGCAGCAAGGAGGCCAGTGTCACTGGATCACAGAATACACGCAAGGTAGAAAGCTCTAAGAAGACTGGAAAGGTAGGAGAGGGCCAGGTTATGAAGGACTTTGAAAGACAAACAGAGGATTTTGTATTTGATCGTAGAGGCGATAGGGAGGCATTGCAATTTATTAAATGGGGAGGTGACAAGGTCAGACCTGTACTTATCACTTTGACATCTGGATGGATGAACTAGAGTGAGGAAGGACTTGAAAACTAACCAGTTGGCCACTGTTATAGTCCAGGCATGAAAGGTTAAGGGTCTGCACCAGGGTGGTGGCAGGGTCAGAGGAGAAATGGGATGTATGTGATATGCTGCAAAGAGGATCTACAGGAGTAATAAGAAAAGGGATGGAGTGGGGGGGGGGCAATGAGAGAGAGAGTGAAGAACAAAGGCCAACACCAAGGTTTTTATTCTGGGTGACTGGGGGATGGTGATGTCTTCAACAGTAATGGGAAAGTTAGGAAGAGAAGAGGGTTTTGTGGGAAAGGCAATGAGTTCAGTTTTGGGTATGCTGATTTTAAGTTTAAATGTCTGAAGGACATTTGGTTTGGGATGTCCAATATGTCATTGGAAATGCTAGGCAGGGAAGTCAGGAGAGAGATTAGGGATGGAGAAATAGATCTGCAAATCATCTGAACAGAGAGAATTAAATCCAGGGATGCTGATGAGAACACCAAGTGAAATAGCATAGAAGGATACCCACAGTTAGTGGGCTTGACCTAAATCCAGCAAAGGATAATAAAAAAGAGGAGTCGGATGGAAGGAGAACCAGGAGAGAACAGTGACCCAAAAACCTAGAGAGAAGAGAGCATTGAGGAGAAGAGGGTGATTGGCACTTCATAGAACATTTGGTGACTAGGATAGAGCAGTTTCCATTGAATGATGAGGCCAGAAGCTAAATTTAAGAGGGTTTAGGAGAGAGTGAGGGGAGAGGAAGCTGAGGCACTAATTGTGCCTTCTCAAGATGTTTAACCGAAAGAGAGAGGAGATATATAGGATGATAGTGGGGATAAAAGGATCAAGTGTTGGTTTTTTGTGGATGGAGAAGACATAGCTATGTTTGTAGGCAGTAGAGAAGCAGCCTGAAAAAAGAGATACACTGAAGATCAGTGAAAGAGTAGGGATAAGAAGACAGGGCAATATGCTGGATAAGATGGGATGGAATGAGATCTCTTATGAATGTAAATGCCATGCTGCTTTCTTTCCTATTGCCTAGAATTACCTGAAAGTAAAAAAATTATGCCGATTCCCAAAAAATCATAATAAAACTTTAAGGTCCTTTTGCACATAGAAATGTTGCTGTGATACTTACAATCTATCACAATTAATATTGTTTGAATCATTATGGCCTCATTTATATAGTTAATAACAATAAATGTCCTACAGGGGCCTGATTTACCAAGGGTTCTTTAATTAGTATTTAAATAACACTTTATTTTATTTTTCCAGGCAAATACCAAGATTATTAT